ATTCTTATTTACAATTGTATTCTTTGTTAAATAGTTTTTTTCTTAAAAAACATATAATTTTACATGAGAACAAATGATAAAAAAGAGCCACAATATCCCAACAACTGAGAGTGTAAAGTTTGGGTTCTATACCAATGTGGTAGACAAAAATGCTTTGATCAAGCTCTATCTCCCAATTCCAAGTCATGAAGTCAAAATGACAGAAGTTTTACTCAAGAGTAATTTTGAAATAATAAACTATGTGAGTTTGTTGATATAATATTGGTGGTTTTTGGCGCAAGAGTTGAAGTTTCCAGGATGCTGCTCAGAAAATGGGTTGGAGTCGTTTGATGGTTAAATCAATTTGAAATAATAAAGGCTCTGTTTCTTGATGAGGCGCAAGTTTTGAAGTTTCTCGGATGCTGCTCCGAAAATGGGTTGGAGCCGTTGCAGGATGACTTTCTTGGAGATGATTGGTTTAAGTCATTAGAATGGGTGGGAAGCCATTCCTTTAGTCAACTCTGTTTTCTACAGGAGAAAAAAAAGAAAAAAAAGGGCAGCCATAAAGGGAAATTTAATGACCGTTTTCAGTACATTTAGATAAAGTCATGATGACTTCACCAAAATATTATATATCATCCTCAAATCAACGAAACCATGCATCCGTCCTCGCCCACCAGCTCTGACTAATTGCAGATTTAGCAAAGGAGTTACACGGACCACACGTCTTTTTAAGTCTCATATCTGATTAAAAAAAAAAAAAAAAAACCAACAGACAGGAAAGAGAAACAAGATCGAGAATCCATGGCTATTGAAGCAACCATTTGGCTTGCGGTAACAAACCTAAATGATGCATGGACATATTCTACTTTGCCAACGGTCCTATACCGATACTGTTGTAAATCATAACCAATTCTTCAACCTGCAAGATTAGCCACAAACAAAACAGAAACTGCAGAACAAAGCACAATCACACACAACAAGATATACCGTGATTCGCTGTTCAATATAGAACAGTTACATCCACGTTGAACTCCAGAATATGGAGCTCGCTGCACTAGTATTGATTTCCTCAAAGATTACCACTTTACAGAAGAATCTTCTTCACTGTATTCCCGAAAGAAACACTCACTCACTTCCCTGTATCCCGCAAATCCTAATAAACCCTAGAGTGTTCTATAACCTTCAAGGAACCCCTGCCCTCAACACAACTCTAGATAGATTCACACAGAGAAGAACCTAGAATGAGCATGAAACCCTAACCCAGACCAAACAATTTTACAGAGAAACAAAACGAATACCTAAACTCGATTTCCCTCAAATGCGTGAATAGTTCCCTTTTATACTATTGACTTCTGAATGCATTTGAGCCGTTGGATTCTCTTTATCGTTGATGCTGAGATTCATTTGGAATAATGAACAAAACGACAGCGTTTTGTTTCCTGGTTAAACGACGTCGTATGCTTCACTTATTTAACATCTCCACCTTGAAGTATGTGGCAGTCATTTTAGCAATGTCATTTTCAGTTGAGCACGAGCATTTCCATACTCCTTCTTAGTTCTGTTTTGGTTATCCCCAATGTAATAAGTTCAAGCAGTGCTTGAACTTTGCAAGTGTTACAACCTTGGTTCCCTTGTCTGTCGGGTTGTTTTCAGTTGGGATCTTCTCAGGTTCACTTCTCCTTTGGAGATCATATCCCTCACAAAATGATACCTTACGTCAACATGTTTTGTTCTCTCATGGTACACGTGATCTTTCCCAATGGATGGCACTCTGACTGTCTGAATAGACTGTCACAGTTCCATCCAGCAGCTTGGCCTCTTTCAGGAATCCTTGTACCATATGGCTTCTTTGAATGTGTCGGTTACAGCCACGTATTCGCTTCATTTGTGGACAAAGCTACCAGTGGTTGCAGTTGGGACTTCCAACTGATGCAGTTTCCTCCAGAGTAAACTGATATGCTGTGGTGGATTTCCGCAAATCTCTATCACCTGTAAAATCAGAATCTACATACCCAACCAGATCAGTGTGGAGTTTCTTTTACAGAAGTTTAGACCAACATTTTCTGTACTTTTAATATATCTTAGTAGCCATTTCAACGCATTCCAGTGATCACACCCAGGGTTTGCCTAAATCTACTTAGAAGTGATATTGAATATGTAGATCAGGTCTTGTACTGATCATGAGATATAACAGAGCCATGCATTTGCACATGGTATTGTTTCCATTTTTAGTCTATCAGGTTCTGTTTTAGGGCTTTGGACTTTACTAAGGATGAATTGACTTGCTAGGGGCATTGTGGTACACTGAGGTCACTCATTCCAAACTTTAACACAAGTTTTGCAGATAGGCATCTGATGCAATTTTAGGCTGTAATTCTTCCTGTTTTCTTTCTATTAGCATACCTAAATTTTTTAACACAACCCAAATCCTTCATGTCAAATTCAGCATGCAATTTCCCTTTCAAATCCTCAATTTGGGCTTTAGATTTACTAATTAATAGCATGTCATCAACGTATAATAACAAATATACAGGATTTGTATTCGCATGTGCAAAATAGAAACAATTATCATGCTCACTTCTGTAAACCCTATCCTACTATAAAGAGTCAAATCTTTTGTACCACTGCCTAGTGACTGTTGAGACCATACAGGGATTATTGCAACAAACATACATGATCAGAAACCTTTTATCCTTAAACCGTATAGTTTACTCATATAAATCTGTTCTTCTAATTTGCCATGCAAGAATGCAGTTTTTACATCTAACTGCTCTAATTCAGGTCATAATGGGCTCTATAATAACATCAATCTTATAGTTTTAAATTTAACAACAGGTGAGAAATTTCAGAAAGTCTATACCTGCTCGCTGGGTGTAGCCTTTGGCTACCATTCTAGCCTTATACCTTGGTGGATCGTTTTGTTTATACCCTTCTTTAGCTTGTACAGCCACTTACAGTCTACCAGTTTGACATCCTTTGGTTTTGGAACCAGAACCAGGTTTTGTTCTGCCAGGGAGTCTATCTCCTCATTCATGGCATTAACCATTGTTTCTTGTCCTTTGAGTTGACTGCCTGTTCATAGGGTCAGGTTCTGTCCTCTGGATCCTACTCCAGCCAGCAGGCTGTGTAGATGAGGTCTGCATAACTGAACCTTGCTGGTGGTCTTATATCCCTTCTGGTTCATCTCGTGCCATTTGATACTGAGCAGATCATTTTGTTGGTCATTATCAAAGTTTTCTTCACTTTCATCTTCACCATCAGGTCTAGTATTGGTTGTAGTGTGCTTAGTTTCATATTCTAGTTCATCAGTATTGGTCTCAGGCTCCTGTTGCCTTGTTACTCCACCTTAAACTGAGTACTGTCTGTTTGCTGTGGTGTCTTCACATGGTGGCTTGAGGTACCTGCACTGTTATTAGTAACCCTGCAAGGGAACACAGATCATTAAAAATAACATCTCTACTGATGATAACCTTAACCCCTGGGTTTCTCTATCCCACAGCCTATATCCTTTGGTTCCTCTTGATATCCCAAAAAACACATCTTAGGGACCTAGGTTCTAATTTTCCATCTACTGTATATGCATAGGCCGCACAACCAAATACTCTTAGTGGTTGATTGAGGGTTTTCTTCCTGTCCATCTTTCTCAGGGCACAGAGCCAGTTGCACTAGAGGGAGTTCTATTTATCAAATAGGCAGCTGTGGTTAAAGCCTCTCCCCAAAAAGACTTAGGTAGTCCAGCTGTGAAGAGGAGACACCTAACCTTTTCTAACAGTGTTCTGTTCATCCTCTCAGCAACTCTATTTTGCTGAGGTGTTCTCCTAACTGTCCTATTTCTCATAATCCCCTGGTCTTTACAATATGCATCAAACTCAGTGTTACAGAATTCCATCCCATTGTCATTTCTGAGTGCTTTCACCCTTTTTCTCCAGTTGGTTTTCTACTAAAGTCTTCCAACTCTTAAACTTACTTAGTGCCTTATCTTTGGTTCTAAGAAGGTAAACCCACACTTTCCTACTAAAATCATCCCATATGGCTAGAAAGTAACTATTTCCCCCATGAGTTTTGACTCTTTCTGGACCCCAAAGATCAGCATGAAGGTATCCAAACATCCCGCAGACGGTGAGTTCCTTTTGGGAAGCTCAGCCTTGCTATTTGCCCATGACACAAATCTTACAAAACTCTAAGTCTGATACATTGTCATTTCCAAAATACCCCTGCTGTTTGAGATAGCTCATACCAGTTTGGCCTATATGCCCATCCTCAGGTGCCATTTTTCTGCATTTGAAGTTGTAGATATAAAAAGCAGAATTACATTCAACTGTAATATTGTCCACCCAATATATACAGACCATGCCTTTTCACACCCTCAAACAGAATTTGATCATTCTTGTACACAGTAATGCAACCATTTTCAGCTCTATAGCTACAACCTGCTTCATCCATGTGCCTAGAGATCAGGTTATGCTTAAGCTCTGGTATGTACCTAACTTTGGTTACATTATTAGTTTGCCATTTTTAAGTCAAGAGTAATGTTACCAACCCCTTGAACCCTACAAGTTATTGTTTCCCATAACACTATTTCAGGTTCACCAGTTATCAGGTTTTGAAACCAGGTTTTGTTAGGCCTCTATGAAAGGAACATCCTGATTCTAGCACCCATTCATTAGCAACTTCAGAACTGGACATAGTAAGGGCTTCAGTGATTTCAAACTGTTATTAGAGGATGCTAGGTTACTCTCTGTACTATTCTGCTTTTGCTTCCTAATCCATCATAGCAATTCTTTTTTATGTGACCAGGTTTGTTACAATGGAAGCATTTCCTAGTCTCTGACTTAGACTTATTGTTATTATAGCCTTTGCCTTTCTTCTTATTCTTTGGCCCTAAGTTTTGTTGAACCCCCTTTACAGTGTCTTTAGCAAAATGACCAGTATCTTGTTTTCCTTTTACAAAGAGATTATTCCATTTCTCTTTTGTATTTCAACTTTAGTTTCTGGATTTTAAGCCAGCCATTATGAGATCACAACGCAGGGACTGTGCCAGTGTACTGTAATGCATTCTTTACTACTAAATATTCATCAGGAAGAGAATTTAACAAAATCATTGCAAGATTGGAATCTCCTAATTCCTGATCAGTTCCTTTTAGCACTATTGTCATTTTTAGAAATTCATCTAAATTTTCTTCTAATGACTTAGAGGCATCCATTCTATAAGAAAACAGAGCATCTTTCAAGAATGCTAAATTAGGAGCAGATTTCAATGCATACAGAGTTTGAAGTTTACCCAAGAGCTCTGTTGGTGTGTCAAGACCATCCACTTTCCGCAGAACACTATCTGATAAATTCATCAGTATCAGATTGTATGCTTCTTCATCTATCTCTGCTTTCTTTTTCGTCTTTTCTTCTGGCCACTTGGTTTCATCTTTCTCCAGTGCTATTCCCACCTTGTTGTGGGATAAAAGTGCCTTCATTTTTTTCTTCCAGGTATTGAAATCCATCTTCCCATCATGCTGGGATATCTCTACACACGTGGTAGTGTTCATCATATTTACAATGACAAGACAAAGCAGTATAAGGAGTACGTGGCTTTGTTACACCAGTAGTTACCAAATACTGCTAGACAGTTTTTAAGGAGGTCACTGGTATTCCAGCCTATATACCCTTAAATAGACTCAAAAGATATTCAAGACCCCTAAACAATATAAGGAGTACGTGGCTTTGTTACACCAGTAGTTACCAAATACTGCCGGTAGTTTTTAAGGAGGTCACTAGTATTCCAGCCGATATACCCTTAAACAGAGTCAAAAGATATTCAAGACACCTAAACAGTATAAGGAGTACGTGGCTCTGTTACACCAGTAGTTGCCAAATACTGCTAGGCAGTTTTTCAGGCGGTCACTGGTATTCCAGCCTATATACCCTTAAACCAAGAAAACCCCTAAATCTGGACAAAAACCCTAATTTTGATTTTGCCCTATTTTCGTCGATCCCTTGTGCATGTGACCTAATCTCACGAATTAGCCCCAAGACTCAATAAGATTTGATAGCCGAATGATCTAGGGACCTTTAAATCGAAAAACCCTAAAAATCTGACAAACCCTAATTTTTGAGTTCGTCAAGAGTTGAACGATTTCTAACCCTAGACTTGATTTAGACCTAAAAGGCTCTGATACCACTGTTGTAAATCAATACCAATCCTTCAACCTGCAAGATTAGCCACAAAACAAAACAGAAACTACAAGAACAAAGCACAATCACACAACACAAGATATACCGTGGTTCGCTTGTTCAATATAGAACAAGTTACATCCACGTTGAACTCCAGAATATGGAGCTCGCTGCACTAGTATTGATTTCCTCAAAGATTACACTTTACAGAAGAATCTTCTTCACTGATATTCCCAGAAAGAAACACTCACTCACTTCCCTGTATCCCGCAAATCCTAATAAACCCTAGAGTGTTCTATAACCTTCAAGGAACCCCTGCCCTCAAACACAACTCTAGATAAATTCACACAGAGAAGAAACCTAGAATGAGCATGAAACCCTAACCCAGACCAAACGAATTTTACAGAGAAAACAAAACGAATACCTAAACTCGATTTCCCTCAAATGGTGAATAGTCTCCTTTTATACTGTTGACTTTTGGATGCATTTGAGCCGTTGGATTCTCTTTATCGTTCATGGCTAAGATTCATTTGGAATAATGAACAAAACGACAGCGTTTTGTTTCCTGGTTAAACGATGTCGTATGGTTCACTTATTTAACAGATACAGCATTGAGACTATTCATGGATAAGCTACAAGATTCTCTGAAAATCTTAGAAGGTTCAACGGATGACAAAGGAAGGGCTCTCATAGTTTATGATGGGAAGATCAAGCTTCTGCAAGCTGTTTATCTGGCAGAGACGCCATGAAAGCCTTCTTCCTAACTAAAGAATTGCATAAACAGAAGATTTTCATCAAGTTAATGGCCAACTATGATATCAGAATAAAATTTTCTAAAGTTCTAAATGAAAAGCACCACTTGCAAACATCTTCTCATCATTTCTATGGTGAAGATATTGTGGGTTTCCATTATGAGGTTTCAGAATTAAGTAGATTAATTTTGACAAGTGACAAACTTCTTATATCGGTGGTTGGTGTGGCAGGCTTTGGCAAGACAACTCTAGTGAAAGGAGTTTACAACCATTCAGAGATAAAGAAAATTTTCCACAACCGTGGTTGGGTTTGTGTTTCTCCAGATTTTAAAGAGAAAAATCTTTTATTTCAGATATTGAAGCAGGTGACTGAGGTTAGAGATGAAGAGAAATTGCCATTAGAGAAATTGCAAGAGAAGCTTCGTAATTTATTAAACACGCAGAAGTTCTTAATTGTCTTGGATGATATCCATGCACCTGCTATATGGGAGAAACTCCAAGTGGTCTTTCCAAACTCATCGAGCGGAGCAGGTGATCATAACCATACGTGATCTGATGTAGCCAACCCTATTGATCCAACCATTCTCTCTCCGTGTAAGTCTTAACCGGGGATGAGAGTTGGAGTTTGTTTTTGAAAAAGGTCAGAAGAGACCCCAGAAGCCAAGTATTTTCTGATAAGGGACAGATTCGGGAGAAAATCTTGCAAAAATGGGGGTTTTTTTTTGGGGGGGGGGGGGGGGGAAGTCGTCTCTGCCTATTGCAATATATGTGCTGGCTGGCTTTCTGTCTAGCATAAAATTTAGCATTGATGCTTGGTTAGGGGTGATTGAGGATACAGAGCAAAAGGAAAATGAAGAAGAAAGAGTGGTTTGTGATGATAGCAGGGAAATAGAACAAATAGTTGGTGGAAATGAATGAGCAAACTCAACATGGAGCTGATGCAACAGGAGAAGAAAATCACTTAGCTTCCTTAGATGTACCCCATCCTTCAAATATTATGGCCTTGGCCTTGTTGAAGGTTGATGCTATGCTGGAAGTATGATTTGCTGAAATTGAAAGTCTGAAGCTGTTTTTGCTGTTGTACAGGGACGTGCATGGTGCTGTTTCAGAGTTTAGTAGTTTAAGTCTTACTGTAAACTTTAGTGTTAATTTTGAATTTGATGACTCAGCTTATTTTGTAATGAAGTTGTTAGACTTGAGTGGTTTAGCTGAGATTAACTAAAAGCTTACTGACAGTAGTTGAAATAGTAAGCTAAAGTATGTTATATGCAGATTTTTGTCTAATGAAAATCAGTCCAGTTTTTCCTTTCCATTCTCTTTTCTTTGCACATCTGGCATTAACAAAAACACTAACATGGTATCAGAGCTACATTAACCAACCATCATCTAACAAATTCACTCAAAGAACTCATCCTAAATCACCATCAAACTTCAATCTTCTGCAAGAACAAAACTTTCCATAAAAAACTACAACCAGTTTTTGCATGGCTACTCAATCGGCTTCTCTCTCACCTCCAATGTTCAATGGGGACCAGTATCACATCTGGGCTGTTAGAATGAGAGCCTACCTAAGAAGGCAAGGGCTGTGGCAGTATGTGGAAGAGGAGAAACAACCACCGCAACTTGGTCCAAACCCAACTTTGAATCAAATGAGGATGTATGAGGAGGAAATGTCCAAAGCTCCAAGAGCCCTTTCTCACATACATTTTGCAGTAACAGACCTTGTGTTTACAAGGATAATGGTGTGTGAAACTGCAAAGAAAGCTTGGGATAGATTAAGAGAGGATTTCATGGGAAGTGATACAACCCGAAACATGCAAGTTATGAACCTGCAGAGAGAGTTCGAAATGCTGAGAATGCAGGACGTAGAGAAAGTTAAAGAGTATGTAGATAGGCTTATGAGTGTGGTGAACAAAATTAGATTGTTGGGAGTTGAGATGAGTGACAAGATGATAGTTGAGAAAGTGTTGGTCAGCCTACCAGAAAGATTTGAGTCCAAGATATCTTCCTTAGAGGATTCAAAGGATCTCTCCCAAATCAGCCTCACTGAATTAGTTCATGCCCTGCAGGCCCAAGAACAAAGAAGGTTGATGAGGCAAGATGACTCAAATGAAGGTGCTATATTGGTTGCTCAGAAGGGAGTGAATGTGCAGGGAAGTAATAGAAAATATGCTAGAGACAAGAGAGGAAAAGAGAGAACTGGTGGACAGTGGGGACAGCAGAGTGGAGGAAGAAATTATCCACCATGTTCCCACTGCAAAAAGAAGGGACATCCAGACAGTAAGTGCTGGTTCAGGCTTGGGATCCAATGCAGGGGATGCAAGCAGTTCGGGCACATTAAAAAAGTATGTAGGAACAAGGGTGCACAGCCACCACAGCAAGCACAAAGTGCAGATGACCAGCAGCAGAGCAGTGAACCAAAACAACTATTTGTGGCTTCATGCTACTCAATGCAGACCAGCAGAGATATTTGGCTGATAGACAGTGGGTGTACTAACCACATGGTAGCAAATTTGGAGAATTTTGTTAGGCTGGACAGGACCTACAGCTCCAAAGTCAAGGTTGGAAATGGTGACTATGTGGAACCAACATGGATTGGAGATGTGGCAATCCAGACTCAGGTAGGGACTAAGGTTATTTCTAATATTCTATTTGTACCTGAAATTGCACAGAATTTGTTAAGTGTAGGTCAAATGTTAGAGAGAAATTACACCTTGCATTTTCAAAACCATGCTTGCATTATAAAGAATAGTGAGGGAATGAATTGATGAGTGTTAGGATGCTGGGTAAAAGTTTTCCACTGGACTGGAAAAAACCAGAAAACTCAGCATTAACCAACAAGGTTGAAGAGTCTGAGTTATGGCATAGAAGACTTGGGCATTTTCACTACCTTGGAATTAAAGAACTCAAGTCAAGGGACATGGTGTTAGACCTGCCCGAGATAGAGGTGAAGAGGACCTTGTGCACAGCCTGCCAGCTTGGCAAACTCAGCAGGCCATCATTCCCTTCAGATCAAGCCTGAAGAGTAAGTCACAAGCTGCAAGTGATCTACACAGATGTGTGTGGTCCAATGAAGACTGAATCCTTAAATGGCAGCAGGTACTTTGTACTCTTCATTGATGACTTCTCAAGGGTGGCTTGGGTTTATTTCTTGAAGCAGAAAAATGAAGTGGCTGCTTTGTTCAAGAAATTTAAGTTGCTGGTGGAGAATGAAGCTGGAACCTTGATCAAAACAGTAAGGAGTGACAATGGGACAGAGTACACTTCAAATGAATTTAAAACAATCTACAGTCTAGCTGGAATTCAACAGCAGTACACAGCACCATACACCCCTCAACAGAATGGTGTTTGTGAAAGAAGAAATCGAACCATTATGGAAATGGCCAGATGTATGATGGCTGGAAAGAAACTTCCTAAAGTGTTCTGGGCAGAAGCTATTAATACAGCAGTTTTCCTGCTGAATATGCTGCCCACCAGGGCAGTCAAACATCAAACACCAATTGAGGTATGGAGTGGAGTCAAGCTAGCTGTAGGGAGCTTGAAAGTATTTGGAAGCATAGCCTATGTTATGATCCCAGCCAGCAAAAGGTCCAAATTGGATGACAAGGCAGAAATTGGGATATTTATAGGCTACAGCAGCAACTCTAAAGCTTATAGAGTATATATTCCTGAGTTTAGGAAGATTGTAATCACAAGAGACATAAAGGTTGATGAAGGTGGAGTCTGGAACTGGGAAGAAAAAAGGGTTGATGTGCAAGCTGAATCAAGTCAAGATGAGATGAATAAGGGGCTGATTCAAGAGGCAGATTCAGATGAGGAAGAAGAACATGCTGTTAGAGGGACAAGATCTCTGGCTGATGTGTATGAAAGGTGCAATGTGGTAGTGGTGGAACCAAGATGCTATCTTAATGCTACAAAGTCTGAATTATGGAGGGCTGTAATGCAGGAAGAACTGAGCATGATTGATAAAAATCAAACCTGGAAATTGGTACCAAGACCTGAAAAAAGGAAAGTCATTCAGGTGAAATGGATTTTCAAACTGAAAATCAATCCTGATGGCTCAATCTATAAGCACAAAGCAAGGCTGGTGGTGAAGGGTTTTGCATAACAACCAGGTATTGATTTTTTAGAAACATTTACCCCGGTTGCTAAGCAAAACACAATCAGGCTACTGTTAGCACTTGCAGCTCAGTTCAACTGGAAAATTTTCCAGCTGGATGTCAAGTCAGCTTTCCTGAATGGGTGGATTTCAGAGGAGCTGTATGTAGAGCAACCTGAAGGCTACAAGGTTGAAGGAAATGAGGATTATGTGTACCTGCTGAGGAAGGCCTTGTATGGCTTGAAGCAGGCCCATAGAGCTTGGTACAGCCGAATAAATGACCATTTGTGCAGTCTTGGTTACACTAGAAGTCCTAATGAACACACTCTCTACACTAGGAAAACTGAGAAAGGAGTGGCTGTGGTTTCTATCTATGTTGATGACTTGTTGGTGACAGGGAGTAATCCTGATGAATTGGACCAGTTTAAGTTAGATATGCAAGCTGAATTTGAAATGACAGACTTGGGATTGATGAAGTACTTCCTTGGCATGGAGATAAGTCAAGCTGTTGGTGAGATTTTTGTGTGTCAATAGAGGTATGCAACCGAGCTCCTCTTGAGGTTTGGAATGGAGAATTGTAAACCAATGAATACTCCACTGGTTCCCAGAAATTGAGCAAAACAGATGGTGCAGAGAGGGTAGATGACGGGAAATACAGAAGCTTAGTGGGAAGTTTGCTGTACTACACAGCCACCAGACCTGATCTAATGTTCATTGCAAGTTACCTCTCAAGGTTTATGAGCAACCCAAGTGAATTGCACTTTAAAGTTGCCAAACGTGTGTTGAGGTATGTGAAAGGAACCAGTATGTTAGGCATCTGGTTTAGGAAATCCGAAAGTCTAAGGTCATTGGGGTACACTGACAGTGATTGGGATGGATCCCTGGATGATGCTAGGAGCACCTCTGGTTATGTGTTTTATCTGAATAAGGGTGCAATCAGTTGGCTATCAAGGAAGCAGGAGACTGTGGCATAGTCTACTGCTGAAGCTGAATACGTCTCTGCTGCAGCAGCCATGAACCAGGCTGTGTGGCTTAGGAAGATGTTGAATGATTTGCACCAAGTGCAGGGTGGTCCTACTTTGATTCTATGTGATAACCAGTTGGCTGTAGCAATGGCAAAGAATCTTGTACTCCATGGCAGAACTAAGCATATTAAGATTAAGTTTCATGTTGTGAGGGAAGCTGAACAGTGTGGAGAAGTAAACTTAGTGCACTGCAGAGAGGATGATCAAGTTACTAACACTATGACAAAGGCATTGTGCAAATCCAAGTTTGAAGCCTTAAGGCTAGAACTTGGTGTTTCCAGCCCAAGCACCAAGGTGGAGTGTTGAAGCTTGATGATGTGCTGAAAGTATGATTTGCTGAAACTGAAAGTCTGAAGCTATTTTTGCTGCTGTACAGGGATGTGCATGGTGCTGTTTCAGAGTTCAGTAGTTTAAGTCTTACTGTAAACATTTGATGACTCAGCTTATTTTGTAATGAAGTTGTTAGACTTGAGTGGTTTAGCTGAGATTAAGTAAAAGCTTATTGACAGTAGTTGAAATACTAAGCTAAAGTATGTTATATGCAGATTTTTGTCTAATGAAAATCAGTCCAGTTTGCTTCTACTATGGATTGCTGAGGAATTGATGAGACCGCTTGAAGGCCTATATGCGAATCCTGAAGATCTGCTGGGAATCGATCTTGATCCTGAAGATCTCGCGAAAAGTTGTCTTAAAGAGCTTATGGATAGGAACTTGATTGAGGTAGCAAGTTGGAGGTTAGATGGCAGCCCTAAAACATGTTTTGTGACAAGTACTTTGTATGATACTCTCTTTCC